TTTCTGATCGAGCTGGGAAAGTAGTTATCAAAAAAATGTCGAACATCGCCCAAAATTCGCATAAAAGTGTTCGCAGGAAAGTGTGCTTTAGACAAATGAGGATTGAGGAAGTTTGGCCAAGCGCTGGTTTTGAAGAAATTAATTATGGAAGACAGTGGGCCAAAATCAAAAGTTTGCGTTCAAGTTGGAAGTGATTTTCATAAATTCACCAAAAATTTCCCAAAGTCGGCATCCAAATAATATTTGCTATGATAGTAGAGTGAACCGTTCTCTATTCAACAAAGGTATGCCAACTTTCCATATGCTCTAGTTTTGAGAGAATTCAAAGCTGAAGGCAGTGGGGTCAAATCACGTATTTCTGCTCGCGCTGGGAAGTAAATATCAAAAAATTGTCGAAAATCGCCCAAAATTCGCATACAAACAAAATTTCCTGGGTTGGTAGAGGAAAGTGTGCTTTATACAAATGAGGAATGTGGAATGTTTGTCCAAGGGCTGGCTTTAGGGACAATGGGGTAAAATCATAAGTGTGTTCAAGTTGGGAGTCTATTCAAAAATTTGTTAAAATTTTCCCAAAATACCCATAGAAATAATATTTCGCGGTTTAGTTCACCCAAGTGTCTTCTATCCAAGACGTGATTGCCAAGCTTCTAGATGCACTGATTTTCGAGAAACTGGCAATTGAAGAGAGTGAAGTCTGAAAATTATACTCAAGGTGGGCAGGTAATTTTCAAAAATTTGCCAAAAATTGCGCAAAATCGGCATCAAAATAATATTCGCCGTGTTGGTGGTGTAAAGCCTTCTCTATTTAACGCAGTATTGAGCGACTTTCCATATGCTCTAGTTTTGGGAAAATTCAAAGTTGAAGGCAGTGCGTTCAAATCGCACAAGCATGTTCAGTGGGATGATTCAAGGCCAGCGAAAATAGCTGATGATGGTACTCACCCTGCTCCCTCTGCTTATCCATGGAAGCCTCATCCTGGCTGTTTGTGTGGCTCACTACCACTTCACCTGGCACCACTTTGGTCGTGTCCGACGTCACAATGTTCACCTGCTGATACTTGGCATCATTTGTTATCATCACTAAACTCGTGTATTTCGCGCCCACACCATGCCGACTATCTACCTGTGCTGGTTCGCCAATCACTGATGTTGGAACACCTGTGTGATCGCCGCAAGCGCTGCCCGCACCACTGTCGGTCTCGTTTCTCCACATGGGCGCCCCGCTGGCGTCGTCCTCCTCTTTGGGTTCCGTACCACCATCACGTCTCTGCGCTGCGCCCCATTCTTTACGGTACCGCGAGCTCTCTTTTTCCACGTCGCTGGAGCTGAGCGACTCAGCACTGACGTCAGACAGTCCCGGACTCGACGAGTACACGTAGTTGTTCATGTAGGGTTCCTGCAGGTTCGCCACACTCGTTTCGCTCATTTTTTCTTGTTCGGCCACTGGATTTACGATGTCCGGCTTTGTGGCCTGATCAAGATCCGACATTTTTTTATCACAGTCTTGAGCAGCGTTTGATGAGCTGGGTTTTTCAGTTCCGCCGAGCAATTCTGAGGCGAATTGCGACTCGGCTTCGATAAACTTCCGCACGATTTCGTTGTCACTCTCTGAGGCTCCAGGATTTTTTGCTTCGCAACCATCCACTTTGGAATCCTGTTTCTTTTTCGGTTTGGAGCCAAACCTGCGGCCCTTGATTTTAGGCTGGCGGGCTTCCACTGCGCTGGTGGAACTGGTGGAAGCCACCGCTTTCTCATAGTACTCAGCATTCAGGTCATCTCCGATGTACTTGAGGCTGAGAAAACTGGCTTCGCCGCTGGGCGGCTCGCCGTTGTCCTCTTCTGAGCCTTCCGGTGGCTGTTGCTGGAGATCTTCCACAACCTCCGAACTCAGATGCTTGACGTTGGTCAGAACCACTGAGCAATCCAGCTCAGTATCTGTGTCATTATCCGAACTATCACTTTCACCGCTCGAGGACACGCTGCCGCTGCTGGACGAATTCGGCCCTTTGTGGTTCACCACAAACACTCTGCGGAACCTCTTGGGCTTCTGATCGGCCACTGTTCCGGTGTCGTTGCTGTCCGTGTCCGCCGATCCGGACGACGATTCCTCTTCCTCCCGTTCTTTTTCGTCTGCCGACGATTTGCCATCGACTTCTTCCTCATTGTCGGTGGATACGTTGCTGCTGGGCAGTGCATCATCACTTTCCCGATCGTTTGGGGAACCGGTCACGTTGTAAACTCGTCGAACCATCGGCTGATCGCCATCATCATCGCTCGAGTCTATGGAGGTGGAGTCGGAAGCTGATGAACCTCTGGAACAAGCACAGGACGACATGAAATGGAGGTGTAGGAGGTTGGAGGAAGAAAGAAGTAATTTATATTAAGCCTGAGACGTGGAATCTTTGACTGCTAGTGGAGTTAAATATGCTCATTTCAGGCGTAATCTTGCGCCAAATGGATATGAACTTCAGGAAATTGGAAAAATCAGCACTCCAGGCGATTTTCATGAAACCTTGTGTGTGTGTATAGCCGAGTCTCTTCTAAAGATGGTGAACATTTGAAATTACTGCCTGCGCTGGTTTGGAAGAGGCGATTTTTAAAAGGAGAGAGCGCAGCTGACTGAAACCATCCCTTTTGGGACCGATATTTAGTGAGCTGGGAAAACTCAGGTTATTGGGCCATTTTTATGAAACTTTCCGAATGTGTAGGGTAAAGTGTCTTTTAAAAAT